TGCATTAGTCTCTACCATCTTTCTGAGATGTATAAATATGAGTGGATGGGATTTCTCTCAATATTCTTTGGAGGGAGTCCACTAGAACATATTGTTTAATAAGAGCGGCCCCCAACCTTTTGGGCACCAGAGACCAGTTCTGTGGAGAGAGGTTTTTCTGTGGACCAAAGGGGGGCATGGTTTTGCATGGTGCCTGCGGATGGGGCTTCTCTTGTTTGCACGGCCCCATTTCTGGCATGCTGCAGATCAGTGTCAGTCCACAGACTGGGGGTTGGGGATCCTTGGCTTAATAAACACTACTGTAAGCCTTTATTTATTTTGAGATTTGTGTTTGATTCCACATGGGGGCTCTTTATGAAGTCTTTGTCCATATCTACAAATTATATACAATTTCCAGACTGAAAATTAAAATGGGATTGTTTGTCTGGTCAGCATCAGACAATCAAGCAGAAAACAATACCCTAAATCAAGGAGCTACCAAGGAGAAAATCACACCCACCACCAAGACTGGCAAAGCAAGCTATTATAATACAAACAGGGAACAAATCCCACACTCACTAGCACTGATGATGATACCTAGTTGGTAATGAAATGTCTTCAAGCAAACAACCAAGTTTAGAGAGCATCAAGGACTCCACAGTTCAACCCTGAACTACAAATATTCTTTTCTATTAAAAGAATTATTTGTCCATGTTTATACAAATATTGGAGTTGCATAATATGCATAATTATGCATAATATGCATAATGAGTTGCATAATATGCATAATGGGAGTTAAATAACATCCCTATTTTTGACAGTTTGTAGTTCTTAATCCTTTGATGTTATTTCTTTTTTTAATAATCAGAAATTCTATTTAGTGGACTTCTCCCAAGATGGCGGGAAGTGGGTGATTTTTTTTTTCTCCCACTGATGAACAGCTGATTTTGCTGCCAAAGTTGGTTATTTGGTGGCTCGCCTCCCTGTTTTTTTGGAAAGGGAGACTAGGAAAGACTCAACATGACCTTAACCATATATCTACAGAGAAGAGGGGATCTTGAAGACTGCAATTCTTGGTGAGGAGCAATCAGAAGGTTGGGTCTCTTAGCATCTTTTCTCTTAGCTGTTCGTTTTGCTTAAGTATACCTGGGTTTTAATTGCACATTTTGAAGCTTTACTACCTTTTGATTTACAACTAGTTGACTGCTGACCTATTTTATAATCCTTTGCTGGATTTCTGCAACTTTTTTTTCTGTTCTTTCACTGTTTACTATTAAATTCCAAACCATTTTCATTTTAGCCATAAGGACATCTGCCATGAAAGTATATTTTCTGGCAGTGAAAGTCATCCTATACATTTTACATTTATACAGGATTATATTACAAGTTTTGCTCTTTCTAGCTCTTTAATAAGAAGGCATTGATATTTGTTTTCCAACTTTTGATGGGAAAATTTCCCTTTAGTCATTTTTGATTCTGGGGAAAAAAACCTTATCAACTTTCATTTGTGGATGCTGGTTTACGACTTATCTGTTTCTCATGTCCTTGGAAAGAACAGTGTGTTACTCAAATGTCTCTAAAAGGCGAGATAATTTTATGGGAAGCATTTGAAAAAAGAATGCTCTCCAGCAGTTTTATTTGAAAATATAAGCAAAAAATTTGCTGGATCAACAATGGCTGTGAACCACAGTCAAAACCATATCCAAAAGCAGGAAATAACAATGGTGTCATCTTTCAAAATGACTCTGGCTGAGGCATAGAGGATTTGATTTGCAACTTGATGAATTGGAATCTGATCTGTTGCTGTCAGATGTGAAGAAGAAAGCTCTTGGTTTGAAAAATATAGATATGCCAGAAGAGATTGGAAGGAATATGAATGCAAGAAATTCTGAGATAATGGAATTGATGAACAATGGACTGGACTTCCTTGGCGAGCAGAATGTGTTTTTAAGGAGAATTTTTCAAATATGGCTGTTGCAGAGATATTTATAACAGAGACTTAGGATCTATGGAAATGAGAAGTAGTTATTGGGAAAGTTCCCAATTGAAAACCTAAGGAAAGGTTTCATTATTAAGAGCCAGATGAGGGTACAGTATTTGATCCTGGACAGATTAGCAATAATGACTGGGGTGATTTGTGATAGAGATGTAGAGATTTATAAATTTTGGACCTGTTTTGCAAGGGGGGACCTATTGCAATAGATTTGTCAGTGCTCAAGTGCGTCTTTGTTTTTTTTGTCCTTTTCACTTCATTTTTTTAATGTTCTTGTCTAGTTTTGTTTTTTGTTTTTGTTGATTTTTTTCTTCCTCTTTTAGATTTTTTATTTTGAATTTTAATTTTTTGAATAAAAACATTTTTTAAAAAAAATTCTATTTAGCAACTTGAACGCTCTTTCATATTTTTATTTTGCAGATTTGGAGATGCAAATGGTTAATTTAAAATCTAACCTGAAAAAATTCATATTACAAAGGATTCATTATAGTTAGAGGGAAATGCTCGGACAGATTTTCTTTCTGATCATTTCATTCTGCCCACAATATTATTCTTGAACATCAAAGAGGAGGGGAAAAATGAGTTATTCAAAAACCAGTGAAAGCCAAAAGTTGTATAATTCTTAAGAGAAGATGCTTACATTTTGGTAAACCCACACAGAAGTTCACAAAAACTACAATGAATACACTCCTTCCAATTTCAAGAAAAGGTTGACCTTTTATTCCCATTGGCCCCTAAACTACAGAGCTTAACTTTACATCACAATGAAAGCTTTGTTGTTCCGTCCTCCGAACAGGGAGTTGCATTGGTGATAATGACAAATTTCAGCTAACTGTCAAAAGCTTGTCAATAATCTAAAGCCTCTTGAAAAGGGAGTTTCTTCAACAATAGAGAACCAAGACAGAGATCTACTGTTTATTCCTGCTGGGTTTTAAATTCCACTTGTAGATAAAATACCATCACAAATGTACTTCCATTCAGTTTGGGAAATTTTTAGCATAGTGTTCTCTTTCATTTAACATTTTGTAGTGTGGATAGAGGGGCATTACATGTTTTTTTTAAAAAAAAAATTACTGAGAAATAACTTCATAATCCTTTTTCACTCACATCTCTTAAATAGTGTCTCTCGCTAGTTTACCTGAAAAGAATGGATCCTTTTGTTTCTGATTATGCTTTTATTCCAGGTGCATGCTTTAGGCTGTAGTTTTCTAAGCCACATATGCAGCCTCAAGCCACATTTAAACAGGTTATCTATCATTTTGTTTAGAGAGCTCCAGGAATCAGCATCCTATATAAATGACTTTGAATGTCTGAACCTTCTCAGCAGGTTTACTGAATTTACCAGATTTGCACTGGAAGGGTCCAGCTTTTGTTTAAAAGTGATATCAAATCAAAAACAATTTATTTTATACACAACACTAAAATAAATTGCCTGGTGAGAATTGAAAACTGTCTAGCTGGGTTCTGCCTTATCAGGATCACACTCTCATGAATTATGCATTGAAACTGACAGAAAAGAATCACTCTGTCATATCTTTTTCATCATACTTTTGGACTTATCTATATAGAGAGAAAGGCTATTTTGTTATGCAACCTTTAACGGATATTTTAATTAGCAAGAACATTTCTGACCTGAGGCTCCTGTGGCTGTGTGGTAACATTAAATTGAAATGCATTTGTGAACTTCTTTTATTTGAGAAATTATTGAATGGCATTTCTAATGCCTCAGGCCTTTGGGCATCTACATTTAATAACACACAATTCCTATCCTTAAAAAAACCCTCTATAAATCATTTATTAAATAATACGGCCAATCTAAAGTGATACTATCTTCCATCAGTGAAATAATTATACAGTGGCTGCTCTGACAGACAAGAAAGCAAAGTACAGAGAACATTCTTGTATCTAAATTGGAATATTTTTTTTTAAATATTTGTATTATCTGTATTTTATCTTGGCTGTTCACCGCCCTGAGTCCTTCGGGAGTAGGGCGATATAGAAATTTGATTAAGAATAAGAACAAGAATAAGAATAAGAATAAGAATAAGAATAAGAATAATATTAATAAAACTTAAAGATATGTTTGAGTATCTGTTTTGGCAACAAGGAGTTGCCAGGAAAAGTGTGATCAAAGCTCCATTTGCTCTTTAGTCCTCGAATTATGACTACAATGGAGCCTGCCCATCACTGTTGTAAAATGGGTCTGTCGCATGACCAACTTGATTTTTACTACCTTTTTTTGTGGCTGTTATTCAGTGAACAACCATTGAGCCACTGTCATTAAATGAACGCAGACTGGGAAGGGGAAGTGATTGTGGGGAGCACGGCGGGAGAAATAGGCAGGATGAACGTTGCAGTGCCTCTGCGGTCATACGTAAGGGTGAACGACTGCCGTGGTGCTGCAACATTTGTAATTTCAGGACTATGTCATAAATACTTGCGGGGTTAATGCATAACTTCGAATGGTCACTAAGTGAACTGTCATAGCTCGAGGATTACTTGTGTTTAAATACAAGACTTCCAGGGCATTCCAGAGCTAGATTGGGAAACTTCTGAAATTCATCCAAAAGGAAGCAGTGGCAAGTTACTCCATATCATTGCCAAGAAAACCAGGAGTACGCTCAATTTTAGGTAATTTGTGTTATTGTTGTCGCTGCTGGTGTTAAATAATTGGTAGCCTAGATTTATTAAGACATTCTCTTAAAAAAACATCCAGGGATCGGTTGGCACTGCCACCTCCAACCGGCTTCCCAGTCGGTTGAATTGCAGCTGCAAAATTCTCAGCAGAACTGTATTTTTGGTGCCCCAAATTAAGGACAATTGTACTTGGGAGATCTGGGCCTGTATTCTAACTGAACCTGCCTGAAGGTGCACTTTGTGAGTGTTTTAGCAGATAGACTGATTGTGTTGGTTAATGGAGTGGGTTTCTCATTTGAGGATTCCATCTATGCTTCTCTTTACTCTTTATAACTGTAAATTGACCAGTAGTGCATTAACTGAAATGTTTGACTTTGATTGCTGCCTGCAGTTATTTCAGACTAAAGCAAAATGAATGAGCATCCAAAGAAAAGGAAAAGGAAGACTCTGCATCCTTCACGCTACTCAGGTAAATCAAATGTAGCTATATTTACCCATTTCAGTTACCGTAAATTACATTTCCTTCCGAATGTGTCTATTAAACTTTCCAAAAGCTAGATTTTTGAGATGAGATTGGTTAACTAAAAACCGAATTCTTAAAATTCTGTGTAGACTGTCTATAATTTATTGTTACGTTGTATAAGTACAGGACAGAGTAACTGGTTGCAGTAGAAATGTTGATGTCTGTATCCTAGAATGTAAAGGCTGAAGGTATCTTGGAGATCATCTAGCCCAATCTCTAAATTTAACCCAGTTCCTATACACTTTATTTGTAAGTTGCTATCCCTATGGTTTATGTTCTTTATTATACGCTGAGATTTGGAAAAAGGAAAAAAATAAAGTACACAACCACATATAGTCTAACATATTTCCACACAACACCAATTCTCCCATCATTTAAAAAAATTGTAAAACATACTTTGGCAAACAGAGCCTTTCAGTCCTGATATAATTCTTTATGGAGAGGATAGTGATGCCCCCTGGGTCCTGTCTTATTTTTTAAAAAAAGCAATTACCTGTGAGTACTTTGGAATGACCTCAGAGAACAGCTACCTTTCTTTGCTTAAATGAAGACGAGAGCAGCCATAGATTATTACCCCCCAAAAGAAAATGAATCAAAGGACAAGCCACTGTGTAATAAAGGGCCATCAGATTTAGAGACTAGCAGAAGAATTGGTAAAGAAATAGTAGTGGTTTTCTGACCCAGGAGGAAACCAAGAGACTGAAGTTGGGATGAGAACCTGGCAAAGAAGAGGAAAATGCAAGGAATCTGAGACTTCTGGATAGGACTGATAGGTGCTAAGAGATTAGTTAAAGAGAGGCATGAAAGAGAAAACAGGAAAGTGTCTCTATATGCTCTGGGTAGAGACAGACAGATAGCACTGAATAATTTTTGCAATTAAGAAAGGCAGGAGGAGGTAAGAAAGAAAATCAAGATTGGCCCATCTTGATTACCTTGGGTATAAGGAGAGGAAACTTTCAGGTTTTCAAGTTTTTGTTCTGATAGGCTATATCATCTACTATCAGAAAAATTGAATTTTAGATCTGGAGTTAGATCTGCATGAGAAATAGAACTGTGGATTCAAAAATACAATTTTATCTACAGGAGTACAAATCCCATTTTTGTTTTGTATTTATTTTCATTTTCATTTCATTTATTCGAATTTCTATACCGCCCTTCTCCTTTCGGACTCAGGGCGGTGAACAGCCAGATAAAAAACATCTATACAAACATCACAGTTAAAAATAAAGTTAAAATAATTTATAAATTTGGCCCATAATTTAAAACTTGTCAATTAAAATAAATATTAAAAATTTAAAACTAACCCTAAAATCAGGACAGACCGGCTAGCTGAAAAAAATGAGTTTTTAGGGCCCGACGAAAAATCCGGAGGTCGGAGATCACTCGTATCTCTGGGGGTAGATTGTTCCATAGGGTAGGTGCCACCACAGAGAAGGCTCTCCTCCTGGGGGTCGTCAGCCGGCATTGTCTGGCCGACGGCACCCTGAGGAGGCCCTCTCTGTGGGAGCGAACCGGCCGGTGGGAGGCTATTGGTGGCAGAAGGCGGTCCCGTAAGTACCCTGGCCCTAAGCCATGGAGCGTTTTAAAGGTGATCACCAACACCTTGAAGCGCACCCGGAAGTCCACCGGAAGCCAATGCAGCTCGCGCAGGAGAGGAGTCACATGGGAGCGCCCCGTCGCTCCCATAATCCCCCGCGCAGCCGCATTCTGCACCAGTTGGAGCCTCCGGGTGCACCCCAAGGGGAGCCCCATGTAGAGAGCGTTACAATAGTCCAGACGAGAAGTGACGAGTGCTTGAGTGACCGTGCGTAGGGAGTCCCGGTCCAGAAAGGGGCGCAACTGGCGTATCAGGCGAACCTGACAAAAAGCCCCCCTGGCCACGGCTGTCATATGCCCTTCTAAGGACAGCCGCGCATCCAGGAGGACACCCAAGTTGCGGGCCCTCTCCGTGGGGGCCAATGATTCTCCCCCAATAACCAGCGATGGCGTCAGCTGGCTATACCGGGACGCCGGCAGCCACAGCCACTCGGTCTTGGAAGGGTTGAGTCGAAGCCTGTTTCTCCCCATCCAGACCCGCACGGCCTCCAGGCACTGGGACATCACTTCCAAGGCATCATTGGGATGGTCTGGGGTGGAAATGTACAGCTGAGTATCATCAGCGTACTGATGGAACTCCACCCCAAAACCACGGATGATCTCACCCAGCGGCTTCACATAAATGTTGAACAGGAGGGGCGAGAGGACCGACCCTTGCGGCACCCCACAAACAAGGCGCCTTGGGGTCCACCGCTGCCCCCCTGTCAACACAGATTGCGACCGGTCGGAGAGATAGGAGGAGAACCACCGCAGAACAGTGCCCCCCACTCCCAGTCCCTCCAGCCGGCGCAACATGATACCATGATCGATGGTATCAAAAGCCGCTGAGAGGTCTAATAGGACCAGGATAGAGGAATAACCCCTATCCCGGGCCCTCCAGAGATCATCCACCAACGCGACCAATGCCGTTTCCGTGCTGTACCCAGGTCTGAAGCCGGACTGGAGCGGATCCAGATAGACAGCTTCATCCAGGTACTGGGGGAGCTGTCGCGCCACCACACTCTCAACAACCTTCGCAATAAAGCGAAGGTTGGAGACTGGACGATAGTTAGCCAAAATAGCCGGATCCAGGGATGGCTTCTTGAGGAGAGGCCTCACCACCGCCTCTTTCAAGGCGGCCGGCAGGACACCCTCGCTCAAAGAAGCGTTAATAATCCCCTGGAGCCAGCCCCGTGTAACCTCCCGGGAAGCCAGCACCAACCAGGAGGGACACGGGTCCAATAAACATGTGGTTGCGTTCAGTCGTCCCAAGATCCTGTCCACGTCCTCGGGAGCCACAGGATCGAACTCCTCCCAGATAACACTCTCAAGGCCTGCCTCAGTCATCTCGTCTGAACTAACCCAGTCGGCGGCCAAGTCTTCCCGAATCTGAGTTATTTTATCATCCAGATACTGTACAAAATCCTCAGCTCGGCCCTGCAAGGGGTCCTCCCGCGCTCCCAGATGGAGGAGGGAGCGGGTCACCCTAAACAGGGTGGCTGGGCGGTTATCTGATGACGCGATAAGAGCGGCAAAATAGCTAGATTTCGCCACTTTTATCGCCACTAGGTAGGTCTTAATATGAGACCTTACCAGTGTCAAGTCAGACTCGGAACGACTGGCCCTCCAACCGCTCTCTAGGCGTCTTTTCCGGCGCTTCATCTCCCTCAGCTCCTCGGAAAACCAAGGAGCTAAGTGAGTTCGGTGCCGGGTCAGAGGCCGCAAAGGCACGACCCGGTCCAAAGCCCCGGCAGCCGCCCTATCCCAGGCGGCCACCAGGTCATCAGCCGAGTCATGAGCTAGAGTCTCAGGAAATGGCCCAAGCTCCATCTGGAACCTATCAGGGTCCATTAGGCGCCTGGGGCGGAACCACCTGGTCGGTTCCGCCTCCCTGCGACGGGGTACGGCGGTCAGAAAGTCAAGTCGAAGGAGCGAGTGGTCAGACCATGACAAGGGTTCGATATCTACATCCCCTATATCAAGGCCACTCAACCACTGACCAGAGATAAAAACTAAGTCCAGAGTGTGTCCCCCCATATGAGTAGGGCCGTGAATTACTTGGGTCAGGTCCATGGCCGTCATGGAAGCCATGAACTCCCGAGCTACCTCAGATGTTTCACCGATGGATGGCAGGTTGAAATCCCCCATGACCACAAGTCTGGGGATATCAGCCGCCACCTCGGCTATAACATTGAGGAGCTCGGGCAGGGTCGTTGCCACGTGGCAGGGAGCCAGGTACGTGATCAACAGACCCATCTGCGCCCCATGACCCCACTTCACAAAAAGGGACTCACATCCGGCTATCTGAGGTACAGTGGTCTCCCTCGGATCAAGACCTTCTTTTAGAATGACCGCCACCCCCCCGCCCCTGCCCTGAGCTCTCGGCTGATGAAATGCACGGAAGCATGATGGGCACATCTCCACGAGGGGAACTCCCCCCTCATGGCCCAACCAGGTCTCCGTGATACCTGCCAGGTCCGCTCCCCCCTCCTGAATAAGATCACAAATGAGGGGGGCTTTATTTACCATGGACCTGGCATTACATAACATCAGCCGGAGACTCGGGCGCTGAGTAGCTTCAATAGTAAATATTGTTATTACTTATCTGTTTCTTCCAGAAATATAATAATACCTGGTAGAGGGGATCAAGAGAAGAGAAAGAATTCTTCTTCTCTCACATCTGTAACTGGCCACTTACTGGTTTTATGTTAGTTGAAGTTTATTAGAATCATAGACCACTGTCCAATTTTTGTGCATTTATATATTCCTTTCTTGATCTGCATTTCTGTAACACTTAACTGGGAATAAATGCCACTTATTTTTAAAGAAACCTATTAAGAATTGCACTATATTCTCTATAACATCAAATAATTTAGCCACAAGAAAATTGATGCAGATGTCAAGAAATATATTCTATCAGATATTTTAAGCTCATGCTTTTGTCTTTTCTTCTGTCTTAGATTCTTCAGGAATTCCAAAATACATAGATAATAGTGGCATATTTTCTGACCATTGTTACAGTGTCTGTTCCATGAAACAGCTAGACACAAAAGTTCCTGATAACCGAGGTAAAGATTTGCATTTTGCAAATTCATTCGCAGGTATATTTTTGAGTAGGTTGCCTGTATCCTTGTACATATTCTGAAAGATTTTAATAGTATTCTACACAATATCCTATTTTATGGACTATGTTCAAGGAACCAACCAAAAATTTTATGAAAAGATAGCTATAAATGCTATCAGAATGTGTTAAAAATTGTAAGACTGCAGAAGTAGATGGTGTAACTGGATGAAAAAGAATGCTTTTGATATGTCTATTCTGTTTAATATTTGTGTGCATTTGTGCTTGACAATTATTTTGTACCAAGGAAAAGATAAAAAGGGAATGCAAAATCTACAAGGACATTAGTTTGTTATATGCCTAGGATTGTTCACCCAAATTTTTATCAAAAGGTTACAAGAGATGTTGATATGCAGAATTGTGGTTGGTGTACTGTGGCTTTATGTTGAATAGAATCTGCAGAAGAGATTTTTATATATGCAAGTGAAAAAGAAAAGTTTACTGCATGTTTGACGTTTAAAATTTATGATAAAATGAAAAGGCATGAAATGTAGAGTGATTATGAAAATATGTTAAATGACTTTTAAACACACACACATAAAAAATGGAATTAAAACTTGGAGTTAGTTAAGGGTACTTGTGCCATCATGATGTGTTATGTTTGCACAAGGCAACAGCTGGCAAATCCATTTTTATAGACAACTACCTATTACTGATATAGGTGACTTCAGAAACATTTGGCAGGATTACTATTATTTTTGAAAGAACTGCCTCCGAGTAGATACGATTTCAAATAATCAGTTCAGATTGGTATGTTAAAATATTTATTTATTTATTTATTTTTATTTTTATACCGCCCTTCTCCCGCAGGACTCAGGGCGGTGCACAACCAAAATAAAACATAGTATACAAAATTTAAAAACAATTTAAAAACAATTAAATAATTTTGGCCCAAATAATTTAAAACAACCCAGATTAAAACCGAATTCAATTAAAACTGAGAGGATGGGATCAAGCCAGCCCGGCTAGATGGAATAAGTGTGTTTTCAGGGCCCGACGAAAAGTCCGGAGGTCTGATATCGTGCGTATCTCACTGGACATTTAAATATTTAAGGGAACAGTAATGTTTTAAAACATTTGGTCATGTTATATCATCACATACCACACGACATAATAAACATGGACAAGGAGTATTTTAAACAACACATACAAGTTTATGAGAAGCAGGCATAATTTCGTAGACTTTCTCAATGTCTGTAGTTATTCTATCCGTACAGAGAAATAATTTTAGCTTTTTAAAATTTTTACTACAGTGTACTCAGGTAGGAGGAATCCATATTATTTGTTAAGAGTCTTGTAACAAGGTATGAAACAAGCTCTGAATTGCATGTTGTAGAGCTACTGAAAAAGTATGAACCGAATTAGGAGGCTAACACTGGAATACCCTGAGTTGTGTGCTGAGTGGGTGCCTATATAAATTGATTAAATTAAATAGAATAATTTTTTTTCTCCACAGGTCGATTTCATAACGCGACGCCTAGTATAGATACTGATGAGGATGGCAGCCAGGTGTATGCTGGGACATCTCAGTGGAGTGGGATCCAATCTAATGTTCCGGGGACACATTTGATGGACCCTAAGAAAAAAGGTAAGGGAAAGGCAATTGTGTCGGTTCCTATTTACTCTCCCTATTCTTAATAGTGCCAAAATGAGAAGAGGGGGGGAGGAAATAGATGTCAAGTAATAAAGCCCCTTTCTGAATAGTAAACATTTTGGAGCCTAAGAGCCTATGCATTGTAGTCATTAGAACAAAGGTAGATCATCTCATACCCTCCAGATGTTTGGGAGTGTAAATCAGAATCCTTTGCTACTGGTCTTGTTCCCATAGCATGTGGGAGTTATATACAAGAATGTATAGAATATAAGCAAGCAATCTTCAGCTTCTTAACGAAAGAGTGGAATAAGAATATACGCCTCTTTAAGATTTATCCAGCTGCAGTTCAGATGAGTTCAGCAGAACTGACAAAATAAATACGCAAAGAATTGCAGTGGTAGTGTTCCAACAAAAATAATGATATTGCAAGTTTGCTTTTATTTTCTATCATAGCATTCAGAATCCCTCACTATTTATTCTTAGGGAGATCGGGCAGTTTTTTCTTTTTCTCAGGAAAAGAATTAAAATCTGTTCCCTGGTGGTGGTGATTGTTTTGATGAAAAAAAAATTACTCAGTAAATTGAAATATAAAAATATAATAGAGTCCATTCTTTGTAAGTTTGGTCTTGACTCCTTTTGCAGATAAAAACAACAGTAACGGAGTTTTTAAAGATTCATGCGAGTCCCCCGTCTTCAGTGACAGTTTAACAGAAGAGGAGAAACCTTTGGACATTCAAACTGTAGAGATCTCCACTACTGAAATCCAGGCTGTAGAGGTCCACGACATTGAAACTCAGACCGTTTCCCCCGAGAAGCTTGAAGCAGAAGAGGCAGAGGAAATCCCGGTTGGAAGTTGCAAGGGGCTTGACAAAAATCCTCCTCCTTCGAACATCGCCATTCCCCCCAAATGGCCCCTGCTTCGGGCAAACAGCAGCGGTTTGTACAAGTGTGAACGGTGCACGTTTAACAGCAAATACTTCTCTGACCTGAAGCAGCACGTGGTTCTCAAGCATAAAACCTGCCCTGAGGGAAACATCTGTCGCGTGTGCAAGGAAACCTTCTCTTCCAAAAAGGTGCTCATTGAACACTTGAAACTCCATGAGGAGGACCCCTACGTTTGCAAATACTGCGACTACAAAACAGTGATGATTGAAAACCTGAGCCAGCATATAGCAGACACGCATTTCAGCGACCATCTTTACTGGTGTGAGCAGTGTGACGTTCAGTTCTCTTCCAGTAGCGAGTTATACCTCCATTTCCAGGAGCACAGCTGCGATGAGCTCTACCTGTGCCAGTTCTGCGAGCACGAGACAAGCGACCCCGAGGACTTGCACAGCCATGTGGTGAACGAGCACGCAGGCCGGCTGATAGAGCTGAGCGACAGCTATAACAGCAGGCTGCCCCAGGGCCATTACAGCCTGGTCAACAAAATCAGCTTTGACAAGTGCAAGAACTTCTTTGTGTGTCAAGTGTGCGGCTTCCGCAGCAGGCTTCACACCAATGTCAATCGCCACGTGGCGATAGAGCACACCAAAATATTCCCTCATGTTTGCGATGACTGTGGGAAAGGCTTCTCAGGCATGTTGGAATATTGCAAACACTTAAACAGTCACCTGATGGAAGGCATTTATTTGTGTCAATATTGCGAATATTCGACCGGACAGATTGGAGACCTCAGAAGTCACTTGGACTTCAGGCATTCGGCTGAACTGCCTCACAAGTGCACTGAGTGTTTGATGAGGTTTGGTAACGAAAGAGACCTTCTATGTCATCTTCAGATACACGAAACTGCTTGATTGTGGTTGTGTGAATGTTCTCATCTGTCCCAGAATAATAAGCATTTCAGAGTTCCCATCAGCATAAAAAGCAACTGAGCCTCAGGATGGCGCAATTTCATCAAACTTTTAATGCATAATAGATAACATGTACAGTTGTCTGGAAGCATAGCATTAAATTCTATGACAGAAATAAACATAACCATCCAGCCAAATGTGTATTATTTGTGTTCATATTGGTACTTAAAAAGCAAAACAGAACTTATTTAGATAGTGCCCTCACCCTTGACATGAGTTTGTCATCTGAGCTTACTTCATGCGTATGATGAACTTTCTACCTCACAGATTTCCTAGTATTTGCTTTTATTTATAGAAGCAACGGACTTTGAATGTCATTCTCATACACAAAGCCGATTACATATATTCTCTTAAATCTGTCCATTAACAGGTGTTTTTTTTATTTACAAGTATTTCAGTATAATGTTAGTATTGGAAATCCCAATTTTGGCTAAAGAGCGAAATAAAAAGAGAATGAACAAATAAATAATATAGCTAATGAGTTTTCAATGCTCTTCCAAATATCTTTCATATTATTTTTACTTTTATGATTCATTACTCAGTTTCTGCAAGAATCCTCGATTTAAACACAAGTATATTTCTTTCATTATTGTTTTATATCTACAATATCATTTTTCCATTTATTTTATTAAAGATAAATATCCCATATTCCGTATGAATCAGCCCTGGGACAAAAGAACAAATTAGCCTAAAATATTATCAGCAGCATAATACCGTATTTTACAGTACTAGACATACCTGTTCAGAAGTAGGTTCTTTTGAGTTAAACGGGGCATATGCCCCAGAAAAGACATTGTACTCCTATCCAGTATTTTAATTTTCAAGCCTAATGTAAAGCAATTTTGTTTTAAGAATGAAACGTTGCTATGTTTCGTTGCAGGCCACTAACGCTAATTATGGAGTGAACCATTTCTAACAAGTTGTTCATGTTGAGCTATTTTAGCAGTTCTGTTAATAGAATACTGTGCCCCAAAAGTTACTTCATTTTAATGAAAGGAACATCTTACAACATCTAACAATTGCCATGAATGAATAAAACTTTATTACGGTCATCGACCAGCAATAGACATACAATAAATTAAAAACAATACTGACATTAATCATGAATAATAACATCCCTGTTATGAAAATACATAATCTCAAACCGTTAGGGTCACTCCCTAATTTACATGAGCGGAGAGCCGATATGTATGTGAGTAAATGTATTTTTCCAATAATTGTTATAGATATCTCCAAAAAATTGGCACCAGTTGACATCTATAATTCTGTAACCAGTTTTTTTCTTGTGGACATTGCAGCAACACAGAATTTTGCCACTGCCCGCGTAGTAGCCGAATTTGAGTCTTGGAGGAGAAAGCCTACATAAAAGTCATCTGTCCTCCCTGGCATTCTGTCCCTATTGTGGAGAGGCAATCTATTTAGTTCTTGGAACTCCATGTCCTTCATTCTATCAATTACCACTTGCTTTGCTTTGTCAAAGCGGAGGGACATTAAGAATACCGATGACAGCCCATAAGAGCTCAGCTTGTGATCTATCGCCTGTTTCCAGAGGGAGAACAATTGCCATGAGTACGTATTGTAACTCTGGAGAGTTAATTCTCTTGTTCTTCAATAATTAATGTGATTTTATTCAGTCAAAAGCCCCCTACCTGCCCAATTTCTATAATGTTCACTTAAACATTTTTAGGTTTCAACGTGTACATTTGGATTTGGATCAGTCACCATGGCTGAAATAAGGCTATACAGGTAGTCCTCGACAGTTATAACAGTTCATTTAGTGACCGTTCAAAGTTACAACTACTGAAAAAGGGGACTTCGAACGTTTTTCACAGTTACGACCCTTGAACTATCCCGTGATCAAAATTCAGAAGCTTGGTAACTGGTTCATACTTAGACCATTACTGTGTCCCACGGTCATGTAATCACTTTTTGCAACTCTTTGACAAGCAAAGTCAATGTGCAAGCCAGATTCACTTAACAACCAGGTTACTAACTTATCAACTGCAGTGATTCACTTAACAACGATGGCAAGGAAAGTCAAAGAATGGCAAAACTCACAACTTAACAAATGTTTCACTTAACAACATAATTTTTGGCCTCAATTGTCATAAGTTGATGATTTACCTGTACATTATGTAGCAGAGTTACTTGTCACAGACGCATAACAGAAGTCCGTCATCCCCCTTGCCTAAAGATAGCTGTTCCCCTATATCAGGGGTCAGCAACCCGTGGCTCTGGAGCCGCATGTGGCTCTTTCATCCCTCTGCTGCTGCTCCCTGTTGCTGGTTGGCTCCCCAATTGATAGGGCTTTCAGTTCAGGTAGAGGAAAAAGTATGCTGCACTAGGAGGAGGCTCTATGGTGGGGGAACCGGACTTCCGGTTGGCTCCACAATTGAATGGGGGGCTTCTGGTTAGGACCTTTGTGGCTCTTTGAGTGCTTAAGGTTGCCGATCCCTGCCCTATATGAAAATCCAACCAGAACTGAATGCTCTTGAATGAAGAGAGGTCCCACTTTTGGACAAAGCTAAGTCCAAAAATGCTAGAGAATTCTGAAAAGCCTAGCACTTGGACAAATTAGCCATCAACAGGCACGTAGAACTAAACAACATATACATATAAAATCAAACATACATACAAGTTCACAAGTGATAATACTGCTTTATACCGCACTTGTGAGGCCACAGATAGAATACTGGTCAAATCAAAAAAGATGCTGAAATTCCAGAAAGTATAGAAAAGAACAAAGATGTTAAAGGATCTGGAGGTTAAATCCTATGATGACTGGTTGAGAGAGCTAGATGTGTCTGTAGCTTATGGAAGAGAAGTATTGGGGAGGGACATGATACCGGTAGCTGTCTTCCAGTACTTAACGGGATGTCACGAAGAGGGGACTGACTTACTCTCCAAACAACCAGAGGGCAGGACAAGAAGTAATGGGTGGGTGCTTGTTAGAGATCTAACTTAGAAGGAGAAATTTTCTGACAGAACAATTAATGGAATAATGGAGTTTAAAAAAAAAAAAAGACTGGACAACCATTTGACTAGGATAGCATGTCTCATGCCTTGAGCAGAAGGGTTGAACTAGAAGATTTTTGAGATCTCTTCCAGCCCTATTATTTTATGTTCTATACCATTCAAAAAAGAAACTTCTTCAAAGAAAAACCAGAAAGCCTCTTGAAAAAGTCTCTTTGGGACAACCATGACCTGGATGACATGGTTGAGAATCTCCATAGACATTCAAAAGAGACAATCCAAAAGCTAAAAGACCACAATACTTCCTAGCCAAGCAATTAAAACCCAGATAAGCAATGAGCAATATCCCAATCAAGGAATTACCAACTCGGTAAACAATGTAGCTTAATCTAGGAATTGAAGGTGACCACATATCATAGTTTAGAAGTGGTTGGTTTTATAGAGAAGTCTTCGTTATTCCTAGAAAACATGGAAAATTAGCCTCCCTAGAGATTACTAGAAAACATACCTGGTCTGGTAGGGAGGAAATGCAGCTTAGCTCCCTGGGGGATTTTGCAATCTTTATCTTTTGTGACCTCAGATAGAGGGGTGTGTGTGAAGAAATCTCTTAATGAAATTAAATAAAAGTTCCTCTCTCACATGCTAGTCATTCTTGACTCTAGGGGGCGGTGCTCATCTCCGTTTCAAAGCCGAAGAGCCAGCTCTGTCTAAAGATGTCTCCGTGGTCATGTGGCTGGCATGACTAAACGCCAAAGGCTCATGGAATGCTGTTACCTTCCCACCAAAGGTGGTCCCTATTTTTCTACTTGCATTTTTTACATGCTTTTGAACTGCTAGGTTGGCAGAAGCTGGGACAAGTAACGGGAGCTCACCCCATTACGCGGCACTAGGGATTCGAACCGCTGAGCTGCCTATCTTTCGATCAACAAGCTCAGCGTCTTAGCCACTGAGCCAGTGTGTCCCTAATGAAATTAGGAACTTCTAATATCTTGAGATTCCCTCGCTCAGTTTTATTTAGATTGTTGATATTTGCCAATTTCCCTATCTAAAGATAGGCTTTATCAGTTTCAGCCTTGGAGGCTTGGGAGCTCTTTTGCCCTATTCTGGAGTTCATTCAGGAGGTCAGGGTTACCTGTAGCCTCTAAACACCTCCAGACCCTGAGATCATTAGCAGATCCATGAGTCACTCTTCTAACCAACAAATAACATCTGCTATTTCTGAGCTTTCCCTACAGATTTTAAATATTGAGGAAGAGCTCTTGAAATCTCATTTAAGAAACGCACAAACTAAATATTAGAGGATCAAGGGTGTGCTAATTTATAGGAAGCCTAAAGCTACATATAAAAAGCCAGTAACATTAATACGTAGGCAGAAAACACCAAGAGAGAAAATGGCAGGAAAGATAAAACTGCACGAAGGAGCAAAGCAACACTAAAAAACAGCCCCAATATAACACTTTGGAGTCTTATTTTCTTTGTCCAAATTATCTTACTGATTCTATATTCCAAAGGATTTGGAATAAAAGTCTACTAGCTCAGACCCATTCAGGAAATAAGCTGTTTTGGTCTTTGATGCTGCTTTCAGTCGGAGGGAGGGAGGGAGAGGGAGAGGGAGAGGGAGAGAGAGAGAGAGATACACGTTAGACTACTACACACTTTATAGCAGGGGTCTCCAATCTTGGCAACTTGAAGCCTGGTGGACTTCAACTCCCAGAACTCCCAGCTTTGCTGGCTGGGGAATTCTGGGAATTGAAGTCCGCCAGGCTTCAAGTTGCCATGTTTGGAGAGCCCTGCTTTATAGCTAATGTTTCTCAATCTCTGCACGTTGGGCTGGCTGAGGAATTCTGGGAGTTGAAGTCCATCCATCTTCTAGCTGCCCAAGTTGGAAACTTCGCCTTACAGATGCCAAGTTGCAGAAATGGCTAAATTGACTTGTTTGATTAAAGAAGTATAATTACTTGTTTAAAAAACTGAAAGCCCTTTAGGGACATTTTGCTGAAAATGGACAAAAAAATGAACTGGTGATTCCGGGATTTATTGATTAAAAGTTTGTCTATTGGGAAAAAGAAAATCGTGATTACAATAGTGGAAGACAGAGGTGGCAGTTGCTATGTTTGTAACTGCCAGAAAGATTGGAAATCACTTCTTTAGGTATCTT